GGCTATGCTGTAATTTCTAGTCATTATTTTTGGTGAAATGCTGTTTGGCCATAAGTTCCCAAAATTCTACCTCTAAATCTTTCCCAAATTTCTCTAGATACTCGTGTTGCTGTATTCAGCTGGAAAGGAGCCACTGTTGAACTGATCGGTCCCACTAACAGCGCTTATGTCGCTGAACAGACTCCCATGGTAAATGTTTCGTGAGCTTTTATATTATCTATATAGAATACTTTGACGTCATCTTATTCCCTGAATACTCACATGTATAATGCAGGTAATTTATCTGAATACACACGCAGCACTTGAACAATTGAGGCAACATTCGGAGGAGCAAGGAGCTGTTGAGGGAACGGAAAATCCGAAAGGCCCACGAATAATGCTTGGTAAAGGCTTTTATTTTATCCGATCTTTGTCACGCCTTATTTTCGTATGTTTCGGTGGTGATGCCTGACTCGTAGAGCCTCGGTATTCATTAGTTTCGCACTAACAATAAATCTAATAAACCTTGTGAACACATTTTTATCCCCAATATCTATCTTTTAATTCAAAACGTGCAGTAAGTAGATAGCTGTGAGAGTAGTGGTAGCCGATTCAAATCGAGTAGGACGTTGGTTGACACAATAGGAATTTTTCAAGGCCAGTAGCAACCCAAGGCTACTAGGTATTATGGTAACATGTGCGAGGCAGGTATTAGATTTTGTTTGTTAATTGTGCTACTTCAGTTGGACCGACTGATGTGGGTAAAACAACGGTGTGCAGGATTCTGTGTAATTATGCTGTGAGACAGGGCCGGTCCCCTGTTTTTATCGATCTCGACGTCGGCCAGGTATCTTTATAAGATCGCGCCTATGCTACATTTGTATAGAACAATGCATTTAGGGTAGTATTTCTGTACCCGGAACAATCGGAGCCCTTTTCATCAACAAAACGGCGGATGTCGTTGAAGGATTCGACCGTTCGAAGCCATTGGTCTACAATGTTAGTCTAAATAATTACAAAATAAGCCCAGACTTCACTCTTAGGTCTTGATTTTTCAGTTTGGTCATATATCCCCCGGAGAAAATCTGCCACTTTACGATATACTGGTAAAGGAACTGGCCGATTCTGTTACCGCACGTTGTGCAACCCATCCGGAAGCAAATCTAGGAGGTCTCGTAATTAACACCTGTGGTTGGGTCACTGGAGAAGGGTAAGCTTTCGATTTTTTTTTCTATCGAACTTATTTACATTATTTTGTTATATTTACGTTTCCTATTTACGTTCATTGTGATGTTTAATCTGCTTCCTTTTATTATTGTCTGCTTTTTACGTCATCCTCATGACCTTCATTGGAACCCCGTGACAAACTCATACACGGTCATGTTTGGGTAATGGGAAATTTATGATGATAATTAATTTTACAGAAATACTATGTTCAACACGAGCCGTTATCTATGCTTTGGTCCTCGGTGATAGAAATTTCCAAATTTTCTCGTTCCGTTTCCTCCTTTTAGTGCTCCTTTGTTAGTTCTGGGAAACTCAAGAATAATCGCGTGATCCTTGCAGAAGCATCCATTATATACGTTTCGCCTCCTTGCAAAAATCGTCATCTTACTTCTTTTTTCCAAATATTTTTTAAAAAGATTACTTCACAAGCTAGAAGTGCCCTTTTATTCCACGTGCATGGGGATATCCATTTGTTGTCCGCAAAGCGAGCAATATCACCGGCCCATTGCTTGTTCAGGGCTTATACGATTTCAGTGACTTCTTTGACACCCGTTCGTTTCCTTATCTTGCAAGGCATTTTTGTGTGCGTTATCGATACTGCGCACACTGCGTGTTCCATTGTTGTTTTTTCTTATGGGGAACAGCCGCATCTACTTCTGCTTAAACTTTAATTCATGTTTTTTCGCTACCTCATGCAAGTCTGGCAGCACATGGGTGTTAAGCACTCGAGCTCTGATAGTCTATCCGTTTGTCGCTGAGAGCATCACGATGCTTGGGCAATATGCCCACCCTAACCTACGTCTTCGGCCAGTTCCAATGCTGAGGTCGTTGCCCATTGTGAACGTGTGCAAAATATGAGTAAGAGGAAACTTCTTTAGCTGAACTTTGTTTGTGTGTACTGAGATAAATCTTGATTGTTCTTCATGCATTTGATTTGTCTGGGGATCCCAATAGGGGCGTCACCAGTGGGAACGATAGCAACAAACTCGCTGAAAACACTTTTTCGACCGGTTTTTGAACAGCTTTGCTGTAGGATAATAGCCGTTAAGGTAACGCAAGCATCGTCCCTCAATTTAGTGAGTCGTGGGAAGGCCTATTCACTATGGGTTGTTGGACGCAGAATGAGTTAAAGCTACACATCAACCCCAACATTTGGGCAACGCACTGGTAGCAAAGTTTTGAAATCGATACAACTGTGCCTACAGCCCGAAGCATCGTAATTTCATTCGCAGACTGACCCTACGTTACTCATCTAGTCCCCAGACTTGCCCTTTCAAATTACCATTCATCCCTGCTGCTTAGTCAGCCCCTTGTTGTCAATCTGTGATGATTTGAAGATGCCATTCGATGGGCGCTTGCCTTGCTCAGCGTCAAACGCAACTGCTTCTTCGAGTTCCATCCTCTAACATGTAGGTGAAAGGCATTAATGATTTGGTCAGGGTGTAGAGATAGATATTGACCTCTCTAGCGTATATGTTACTGGTATTTGATCTATTAAACAATTCTGGCTGATTTTCATATTTCCGAAGAAATTGGTCATTTCGTTTCTTCCTTGTGCATACTACGCTAAGGTATATCACCCATCGTGCCATACCCATTCTGTTTAGACCTATATGCCTTTGTATAGGTCTAAACAGGCCAAACAGAATGAGATTGTTTTTAGCGTGACCCGTTTCACAGTGATGCTGAAAAAATAAATATTTCAGCTATGCTTGCATAGTATCAGCTGCTGAAGCCTTCGAGGTTGACGTCGTCGTTGTTCTCGATCACGAACGTCTTTACAATGAGCTACAACGAGACTTGCCCACTTTTGTCAAGGTATTTTGTCGCTATTTATTATTTTATCCCCTTTGCTCCACTTTTTTTTGAGCAGAGCGATTTCCACCCATTTCGACCCATACCCATTTCGGAATACCTTTCAGTTGGCGCATTTTTGGTACCTGCGTTTTTAATATCTGCGTTCTGACGCACTAATCTGCGCAAAAATGCAAGTGCTATGAAAGCGCTCAATGAGCTCCGCTACAAAATCTGTGCGGTCATTAATGTTCAACTTCTTCGGGACTACGTAAATAGACAATGCAATTTTACAAACTTTGGATGCTTCTTGGGATCTCTTTTTGATGCCAACACTTTCTAATTCTTGGAATCACATACGGTCATAGTGCGTGACCTTATTTTACATTTTTTCTAGATTCTTCATCAACCAAAGTCTGGTGGGGTTGAAACACGCTCTCGTCAATCACGATTGGCAGCCCGTAGTGCTTCAATACACAGGGTAGGTTTTCTTATATTCTGGACTTTTTTCAAATCATTTCATCCTTTCACCAAAAGTTATGCTTGTTCAGTACTTCTATGGTGTACATTCTAACCCATACTTCCCGTTCACGTACGAAATGAATTTTGCTGACGTTATTTTCTGCAAAATTGGTACAGAGAAACTACCAGAATCGTGTCTTCCCTTCGGCTCCAAGGTCGAAGACCATCAAACGAAGGTTCGTTTAATGTTTATTTTAGTAGTTTGAATTAGAAGTCAACTATCTAAAAGTTTAGGTCGTTCCCATTAGTCCAAGCACAGATATGGCTCACAGGATGTTCGCAGTCACACCGTGCCCCACTGTATCTCAAGCGGTGCTGAAAGCAAGCGTTCTGGGATTTGTTGTAATAACCGAGGTACTTCTTTACAACTCTTTGTTTTCACTGTGTAGCACTTGAGAGGAGAGTGGGGGTTATTTATTGTTTAGCTGCTGTGCTGTTAGAATTGTTATAAAAGCTCCGCTTACATAGTTCACGCTGTGTTGGCAGTTTGGGTAAAGGACAAAGATTTTCCTTATTTACAGATGAATATGGAAGAGAAACGTCTTAGTGTGTTGTGCCCTCAAAGTTCGTTGACGCATAAGGTGTTGGTTTGGACAGATGTCACGTTTTTGGATGATCAACTAACTAGAGTTGCTGAATAATTCTAACAGTAGACGCTCCGGTGTTCTTCCAATGCTAGCACCATTGGGTTTTGTATATAGTGTACATACAGTTCTTTTCCATTTGTTATTGTCCTCCTCATACATTCAGCAGTGCGTGACCACTGAACGAGCTGTAGGGACTTACCCAGGTAACGTGGTCCTACGTTCCGTTATCACGTATTACAGTGAGACCATGTTTGTTAAGTTTCTCTGATGGTAGTGATGATCTGTTGTTGTTTCCAATGTTTCGGGTTGTTTTATATCTGTTTCTACAGTTGTTGCAATAAATGGTACGGTAAATGTCTGTGTTTTTACTTGGTAGCGGATTCGCAAGTTTGCATTTGTTCTATTTAATTGGTTGGAGACCTTTAAACTCTTACTTCAAGTTAATCTTTTAAGGAGAAGAGTGGGGCCTTAACTTGCAGATGAGGGCTCGACTTCGTAAAGTCAAAAAATAGTGAGAAGCAAAGGAATAAGGGGGCGAGACGTCACTTGATTATGGTGAGGAAACTTTTTTACTGCAGATTTTGCTAATTTAATTGTATATGGTGAAGTTCATACATTAGGCACTATTGGAAGATTATTCTCCTTCACCATAGATTTTGCTTGCTCTTAGAGGTAAAGAAGTACAGAATGAGAAGCTTCGATTAAACTATATGCTTCAGAGTATTTCTTTAATGGTGTTTTGAGATCGTGTTGAGATTTCCTCATGAATATTCATAGTTCAAATAGTGGTTTTTTTATGTCATCAGAGAGATTTTACATTCTACATGGCCGAATGTTCTGTATTCTACAGAAGATTTTTGTGTAGTGGTATCCATTAGTATTTGAATTTAGGCAATAAAAGGCTCACTTGACTCAAGAGGAATCTGAAACGTAGAGCCATTCATTTTTGACCTCAGTTCTTTCAAAAGATTGCTGTCGGAAGATGATAGTTAGAGAGATGCTCAAGTAGTACTATGTTCAGCGCTTATAACTCTGCTGCCCTAGGTTTTGTCAGTGGATTTGGTGCCGATCGATGCAAGCAATATTCGTTCCGTGAAAAAACTCCATGCAGGAATTTTTCCAGTGCTATATTCGAATAAATTTTTTGAACAGGTAAATTATTGGTTCAGATCTTCTGAATTGACTGGTATTACTATTCTTTCTTGGGTGGTCAATCGTCGAGGAATATATTTTTTTTTTCGTTCACAAAATGGTTTCCTTTCTGTAGCAGTCACAAAGCCAGTAGACATCTAACAGCCTTTATCCTTTTACTCCAGTAAGTCATCCCCCATGGAGGGCATGTGTTCTGGGTAGCGGCAAGAAACTGTTATTTATCACTTCCATCGTCCATACAAATCATCGAAAATTCAAAAGAAATATTCTTGATTGTTCCAGTTCTCTTCAGATTCTAAACAATGATCTGTGTGCCGCCATTATGTTCAACGAAATGTGTGTTGGAGTGGTATGCTGTAAATTTGAAATGGTTGGATGCACAGAGACTCTTTACATCATGTCACTAGGAGGTATGTAATTTTAAAAAGAAAATGTCTATTCCAGCCACTCTCCTAAGATTCAGTCATGTGGGTTGCTTACTTTCCAGTTCACCCTTTGTATCGCTGCCGCGGAATAGGTGCCGAGTTGGTCAACTTTGCCATTTCTAAAGCGATCAGCCATTGCGTGTCTGTAATTCGACTACATGTTCAGGTGATTTCCGATTACTGTTTTCACTGTACCCATCTCAGGCTATCCTGTAGTGGACATTCAAAAGTTACAGTTGTTCTCCTCATGTGAGCTGATCCTTCAAAGCAGTGACAAAAGTAGCTGCGTCGTAGGCAAATTTTGATGTATTGTTTGGTTTTGCCGCTAATTGGGACTCTGAAACGTTGGACCACAGAACTCACTGTAAAATTACTAACAACCTTACAATACGGTAGCCTGATTGCGCCATGCAAGTGTAGCAGACAGATGTCCGCACCCGATTTCTATTGTGACTTCTAAGGAGCACTTTAGTTCTGGATAAGATTGCCTAGCACCGCTACTTTTTGCCCATGAAGTGACCTCGCTTCATTAGTTAATTGCTAGACTTTCTTCGCGGCTCAACTGAGCTAATATCGGTTCCTTGAATAAGAATCATCATCATAGGGGTGCAGTTCATTCTAAAATATGGTTTTTTTTCTTGTATTTATTGTCGCTCTCACTATTACACCTTCCAGCGTTGGGCATTCTATATTCACAGAAGTTTTTCAACTTCTTTTCCATATTTTGAATAAACAAGATATCTAATTCATAGAATCGATATTGGCCCGGCTGCTTCTTTCTGATAGGTTTGCAGTGCGGTGTCAACCAGTCCCACGCATGTGACTGGAGGAGCGAAGTGAATTGATTTAGAGTTAACCTTGGAAACCCTAAATTCAATCGTACAAGTTAATAAATGTGCAGGTGATTGGTGGAAGGCTATGAAGACGCCTGGTCTAGCTAGAAGCTGGAAGTGAGCAAATACAGGAGGGCAGGTTGTCGAGTAACTAGCACTGCTCTTTCTGCTTTTACAAAAATAAACTTAAAAAAGAAGTAACTCGTCCAACATCCGGGCTGAGTTAGTTACTCGTACTAAAATCGGGGGGACGGTACGAACGTGCGTCCGAGGGTGCGCGCGGCGAAGTTCGTAACGATTTGTACGATTACGGACGCACGTTCGTACACATACCCCTAAAATCGTGACCTCTGATATATTGGTGGTTATCAAAGAATAGGATGGATTTTTGCCTGACATTTGGTTGTTGTTCAGAGACTTATACATTTTACCACATATTCATCTTATCCAGCGATTTGTGTCTAGTATTCTGTTCTCAAGTTTACCATGCAGATTGTCTTGAAGCACAGAAGTATTAAAAGTTGTTTTTCTCTGGCCATGTATTAAATCTGATTGCATTTTCCTATATTTCTCAACTACCTGCCCCAATAACCACATTCGTGAAATACGTCTCAAAGGCAAAGTCCGTGGTAATTGAATTATCTATTTGAATGAAATAATAGAAACCATGCAGAATAATGGTGGAGAATAACTCGAGGGTGGCGAAGAATGCACGAGAATTGTTAGATTTTCAAAATTATAAGGCTTCAAAAAGTAACAAGAACGGGGGTTGTACAGAGGCCGTCTGGGTGTCTCTCATTTAGGCGTACTATCCTTCTCGTCATGTGAATAGTGCAGGTATAGCAAGGCCGGCATAACACGGCCTCTTTGAGTGTTTGCGTGGGTCTAACTGGTTTTGGAGCCCTTATTACGCCCATTCTAAGCCGCCACAGATTCGTTCTAGCGAGAAATATTAAAAACCATTTTTATCGTGAACTATGCCTTCAACGAATTGATCGAAGTATGTTCACTCGGATATGTTTAGTGCCTTCTGCGAGGAACTTTCTAATGCTCATTTCAAGATCAGAAGCCTTTTGAGTATGGAGTGTTCGCGAAAATTCGCGAGTGAAGTAGGCATCTTCTGTATTACAATTCATTATGCTGACAATGATTCTCAGAAACGAGCCCTAGGAGATTGACTAGGCTTGCAAGAGCACCCTTCTTAAACTTCACCGATGTCCTACGTTCACAGCAGCACGGGGCTATAAAATATTAGATTATGTTAGCACTTTTTAGAACAGTATAAAAATTAGAGAGTGCAAGTCTTTCCGTGGAAGAGACCTCGGACTAACTCTTCAATTAACTAATGAAATTTATGTCTCATATTTCCTCCTACGCGAAGTAATTCGGAAGGTGGGGAGGGAATGGGGGAGTATATGACCCGCAAAATTAAACACTGCTGATTTTATTGACTTAGATGGTTCTGCCTCTGAAGGTAAAAATGGAAACCTTCAAACCAATTTTGAGAGAGAACCACTTCCTCTGGGATAACTTTTTTTATCAGAAAAGCTGTTGACATGTAGGAGATTGCATATATTGAAACACATGAACTTTTACAGATAAGCAATTTCAATGCCATAGACTTCTACAGTAAAAGAGGATTTTCGATCGTCGAAACGGCTCACAACTACTACCATCGGTGTACGCCGGCGGATGCCCATGTAATGCACAAGTTTCTATGAATATGAAGAACTTTTCTAGGAATCATTAATGCGGTAGAAAATGTTTGTGTCCATTATTTCGGTGCTAAAAGGACATGACTTCTCTATTTATCGATGTTGATAATGTTTAACGAGGTTCTTGTATAAAATGAAATGCGGCTCAGGAGCTCATCTCGATGGGTCTTTTTCGAATAAATAGCTTCGATTATTTTGAAGTGTGTTGAGGTAGTCTAGGATTCTATTTGTGAGGAAAAGATTTGCTGGTTTACTGGTAAACGAAATCGTGAGTTCTCAGTTCTTGGAAGGTGGCTCGTCTTCTTTACGCATATAAACCGCTCCCTACTTCTTACGTGTCTACCAGAATGGGACTACGTATAGTGCCCATCTTGAGGGTGCTGTGTCCACTGTATATATGCTTTCTTCACATCATTTGTTGACCCATTCTTCACCATTCTTAATTGTTATGAAACCAAGTTCGGATACTTTATCCATGAGACATGTACACTCTGGAGCATGTCCAGCCCTCCATAGGCAGGGCTCTACCAAGCTCATAAGTGCTCGGTCGGTCTTGCCCTATACCACCTCATCCCACCCATACCAAACTTGATCCAACATCTTTAGATACTTCTCAGGCAACATATAACTCTGTGACAAACAGACAAACAAACAAACAAACAGACGGACAGACAAACAGTCAAACAAACAGACAGACAGACAGACCGACAGACAGACAGACAGACAGACAGACAGACAGACAGACAGACAGACAG